AACCCACAGCCACCCATCACCCTCATTCTAGAATTACTGTTGCTCATCTACAGCCAATTAAGAAGCAAGAAAAATTTTAATTTTGTCTTATCAAATCAAAAGACTGAATGCTTGAGGAATTTTTCTTTGAGGAAATCTTTCCTACCTGGACTTTGGTCTTTAGTTTGGATATCCTCAGATAAATCTTTCTGGTTTTTGGCTGATTCTATTAGAGATAGTTGAGACTCTCAGAAAAATGACTGTTGAGCAATATGGTTTATATTTCATCTATTTATAAGTCTGATCAAACTAGTAATTGTCACTCAGTTAAAGTACATCACATGCTGAAAATGTAGTCCCTGTCTCAGTTTTTTTAGTAGAAAAGCACTTTCAGTTGATACTAGGTTTGTAAGTAGGGTGCTAATACCTCTTATTAAACTGAAGGATTTCTAGACCAGCTAATTCCAGAAATAGTTTTATTTTGGAATTTTGAGTTTTGGGCCACACCCAGCAGTGCTTAGGGACTGCTCTTAGCTCTGTACTCAGAAATGACCCATGGTGGTGCTTGGGGCTAGGGATCAAACTGGGATATGGTTCGTACAAGGCAAGTACCTTACCTCCGTACTACCTCTCCAGCCCCTAATCCCAGGAATTTTAAACTGGAACCCAGATGGCAAAGCAGGATAGGGTGAAATAGTAAGGGCTCAGGCATCCATCAGGCGCATCTTTAGTCATTAATAGGCACCACTATTCATAGACCTAATCTGCCCAGTTTCCTGAGCCAACCTTCACAAGACAGGACCAGAAAGAGCATGAATTAGTTATGCTGATGGATCTGGTATCTGAGCCTAACTTTGGGTACTTGTGTGCCCACCTAGTCCCAGCCCTTCCTGACACCTACTTCATTGGTCAAGTCAGAACAGTGCAAGACTGTTCCAGGATGCTTAGACTTAGAAGGTGGTAAAAGATCATAGCCTGCTTCATTTGGGACCTTGCCGAGTTTTGCTCTCTGAAATTTCCATTTGATATCATTTCTGTAAGTGGAGGGAAAGTGCTAGTTAGGTGGTTTTCTGCTGTGATTTTATTTCAAGGATAGAGAATATTAAGATTCCTTAGAATGTTAAAGGTGCTTTGTGCAGGTGCAGCTTTGCAGATCTTACCTGGCATTTAGGCAGCAAATCTCTTGATAATGTAGTAGATGACATTTCAGTATCAGTTTTCTTTTCTTTGTGAACCAAGCATATTGTTCAATATATGTTTAGTGGCTTAAAAATGTGCTGTTTGCTAGTTTGCTCTTTTACACATTTTTAATTAGGCTAAGTAAATATTTAGGGAAATAAATCTATTGAGAAAACAACTCTTGATTTCATGTTTATATAATGTGCAGTGGTGTATTTTCTTAATATAAATTTGGGAAAAACTATCACATCTTGCAGATAACTAATGTCATAGTGTATATTTTGCTTTGTGTTAGACACATAATTAATTGCCACATCACTTCCAGCTATCTAGAGTAATATTTTATCACATATAAAAGTATTTCAGGGACTGGAGCAATAGCACAGTGGGTAGGGAGTTTGCCTGGCCGACCCAGGTTCGATTCCCAGAATCCCATATGGTCCCCCGAGCACCGCCAGGAATAATTCCTCAGTGCATGAGCCAGGAGTAATCCCTGTGCATTGCCAGGTATGACCCAAAAAGGAAAAAAAAAATTTTTTTTTTCAAAGAATCTATAGCTTTTCTCCTTGGTTTAAAGATTTTGTAACAAACAGCTTTGGGTAAAACAGCTATGTTCTTAACATAGATTTTTCTTCTTTAAAATAGCTTTGGGACTCAAGTTATTACTGCTGTTTAAGAATTTTGAACAACCATGATCTTAATTTATGACTTCCAGAAGACGAGAGTAACAAATTTTATATCTTCCCCCACTGAATTTGAAATATATGCCTTCTAGATTCAAACCGGTTTTAAGATAAGCTGTGATACTTAGATTTTGCTGAGATTATAATTTGAGCATTCTTGGATAAAGAGAAAGAAATTTGAAATAAACTAGGTTAAGGTAAAAGGGGAATTCATTGGCTCTTCAAATAGGAAGTTGGTTTGAAATAGGAAGTTGGTTTGAAACTTTCAGACAAAGCTGGCTCCCGATGCATTTGATACTGCTGTTTTTCTGTGTTGGCTTCATTCTCAGGCAAAATGGCTACATAAATGCTGTATTTTTTTTTTAGTTTTTTAGTTTTTAATGAAGCACTGTGATATAGAATTACAGACTTAACACACTTTCGTGATTTCATTTCAGTCATACAATGGTCAAGTACCCATTTCTCCACCAGTGCCCATTCTCCACCACCAATGTTCCCAGTATCCCGCCCGCACTCCCCTCCATTCACACCCCCTCCCTCCGTGGCAGGCACATACCCTTTCTCTCTCTCTCTCTCCCTCTCTCCCTCTCCCCCTCTCCCCCCCTTCCCCCCCTTCCCCCCTCCCTTCCTCCCCTTCCCGCCTCCTCTCCTTTTGGGTGTTATAGTTTGCAATTCAGGTAGTAAGTGGCCATCATGTTAGGTCTGTAGTCTTACTTTCAGCACAAATCTCCCATCCAAGGCCTCCAAGCATCCTTTGTTTGGTGGTCCCTTCTCTATCTCAGCTGCCTTTTCTCCCAGCATGTGAAGCCGGCTTCCAAGCCGTCGAGGGAATCCTCCTTGCCCTTATCCCTACTATCCTTGGGTGTTGGTCTCCCATATTCTACAGTCATTCTGTGTCTGTCTCTTTTTGACTCATTTCACTTAACATGATGTGCTGGATTCTCATCTCCCTCATAGTTTGTCACATATTACCCCCTTCATTTCCTTCTGTTTTGCAGTGACTAGAAACATACACTTTGTGCTGCTCAGTTTTGGTCACACACTTTAGTTGTGCTGCTCAAACTGTGAGTGCACACTTGCTGTGATAATGGGGATTGCAAATGGCAGTGCTGCCAGGATGGCACTCAGCTTACTGGCCAGTGCTACAGATTGCACTTGCAAGTGTTGTACCGCCAAGCCCCATCCCTATGTGCCTAAGAAAGCATGTCTTTCTTGACAGTGTCAGCAGAACATCCTAGGGCATCTTAACTGCCTGGCTAGGGTCCCACTCTCATCTCTGAAATAGTCACTATGATCAGTGAGAGTAGGGACCAAATAAGCTAAGCATCCCTGAATCATTTTGCCCTCACAGGTTGGATGATAGTGATTTCCAAAGACATAGGCCAAAACAACAACCACCACAACCACAGAGTGTCCTTTGGAGGTAGTATAGGGAGTAGTATTTGTATGTTGATTTGTTTGTTGATTGTGTATGTTGATTGTGTTTCACACTGTTCCTGTCATTTTTCTGTATAACAGATTGGTTTAAAAGTTAATGACTTGAGGGGCTGGAGCAATAGCACAGTGGGTAGGACGTTTGCCTTGCACGCAGCCAAGATGGCCGATACAGGTTCGATTCCCAGCATCCCATATGGTTCTCTGAGCACCGCCAGGAGTGATTCCTGAGTGCATGAACCAGGAGTAACCCCTGTGCATTGCCGGGTGTGACCCAAAAAGCAAAAAAAAAAAAAAAAAAAGTTAATGACTTGAGGCCCTAGAGATGTGGCTCAGGGAACTTATGGACTCTACCTATCTGGCCAGTACTTCAATGCTTGAGCTTTGCAGTGTCACTTAGGGCCACATCTGGTATGTGCTGGACCTATATCTTTGGACCAGGTGCGTGCTAGTCTTGCACCCACCCTAACCACTTTCCTGTGCACTGTCTCTGTAATTATTTTAAAAATAGGTTAACTACACACACACACACACACACACACACGCGTGTATAAATTATCACACACGTGTAGGGTGCTTGCCTTCTGTGCACCTCACCAGGGTTCAATCCCTAGCTCGCCATATGGTCTCCCAGATCCCACTAGGAGTGATCCCTGAGCACAAAGCCAGAAATAAACCCTGACACTGCCAGGTGTGACCCCAAAAACAAAAAAGAATGGAACCATTCAATTTTAGAACATTTCTGTTAACTAAAAAAAAAATCTTTTGCAGTCGTTCCCTCAGTCTCTGGGTACGATCTGCTCTTAGCCTCCATAAAGAAATCTTTTCTTGTCACAGGCACAGCACTTCTATGTGAAGATTTTCTCCCCCCCCACCCCCCCCAACACCACTCCCCAGCTTTTGGGCCATAACTGTGTTCAGGACTCTGCATCCAGGGATCACTTTTAGTGGTGCTTAGAAGACCATATGGGGTGCTGGGGATTGAACCTGGGTTTGTGCCTGGCAAGGCAAGAGCCCTACCTGCTGGATTGGCTTCTCCAGTTTCTCATGTAATTTATTTATTTTTTAACTGCAGTCTTCCTGTCTTGATGTCACTTTTACTCTGCTGTATTTGCACCTCAGCAAACAGTTCCTGAGCCTTTGGGTGTGGAAATGGGGTTTATATATGCCAAGGTGTTTTCCACCACTAGTTTGGGAGTTAGCTCTGGTACTCTAAGTCAGTAGCACTCATTCATGTGCTTGACAATTTACAAAATGCTGTGGATTTTTTCTTTCCCATTTTGCCCTCTCCCCCTGTGGGGGTGTACTTTTAAAACAAAGCCAGAACACCTTAGTGTCTTTCTAGTGGGGGTTCAAGAATGAATGAGAAGTAAATGTATGTGTACAGTTTACCACCAGTTTTTCCACTGATGTTGATTTTCCCTTTTCTGTTAGTGAAGGTTACAGAAAGACATCCTGGGAATTGATTATTGTCCTCGGGAAGATGCAGAACTCAAACCAACCCTGATACTGTATCTGCCATCAGAAATGTCATGGGCTAGGGATGTGGCTCAGTGGTAGATCCCTGGTCATAAATGTGAGGCCTCAGGTGACCTCTAGCACTGAAAGACAAAAACAAAAAACGAAGGGTTTAAATTTGTGCCTCTCTCCTCATCACTCCTTTTGTGTTTTGATTTTGACCGAAGACCTTCTAAGTCTTAACACTTTTTTTCTTTTCCCCCATAGGATCATGGATTTCCCTGGACACTTTGAACAAATCTTCCAGCAGCTAAACTACCAGAGACTTCATGGGCAGCTCTGTGACTGCGTCATCGTGGTGGGAAATCGACACTTTAAAGCCCACCGCTCTGTGCTCGCGGCCTGCAGCACTCATTTCCGAGCCTTGTTCTCAGTGGCTGAGGGAGATCAGACCATGAACATGATCCAGCTGGACAGTGAGGTGGTGACAGCGGAGGCCTTTGCCGCACTGATCGACATGATGTACACCTCCACGCTCATGCTGGGGGAGAGCAATGTTATGGATGTCTTACTGGCGGCCTCCCACCTGCACTTGAACTCTGTCGTTAAGGCCTGTAAACATTACCTAACGACCAGGACGCTGCCCATGTCTCCGCCCAGTGAGCGTGTTCAGGAGCAGAGTGCCCGCATCCAGCGTTCCTTTATGCTGCAGCAGCTGGGACTAAGCATCGTCAGCTCAGCCCTTAACTCCAGCCAGGGGGGTGAGGAGCAGCCGGCACCCCTGAGCTCTTCAATGCGCAATAACCTGGACCAGCGGACACCCTTCCCCATGAGACGCCTTCACAAGCGTAAACAGTCAGCCGAGGAGCGGGCCCGACAGCGCCTCCGGCCTACCTTGGATGAGTCTGCCATTTCCGATGTCACGCCTGAGAGCGGGCCACCAGGGGTGCATTCGCGGGAAGAGTTCTTCTCGCCCGACTCTCTGAAGATTGTGGATAACCCAAAGGCTGATGGCATGACAGACAACCAGGAGGACAGCACCCTCCTGTTTGACCAGTCATTTGGTGCTCAAGAAGATGCCCAGGTGCCCAGCCAGTCTGACAATAGCGCCAGCAACATGGCCCAGCTGTCCATGGCCTCACGTGCAACTCAGGTGGAAACCAGCTTTGAGCCAGAAGCCCCAGCAGAGAAAAGTGGTTTTCAGTGTGAAAACCCTGATGTTGGCCTTGGGGAGAAAGAACACATGCGGGTGGTAGTGAAGTCGGAGCCCCTCAGTTCCCCTGAGCCTCAGGATGAGGTGAGTGATGTGACCTCGCAGGCCGAAGGCAGCGAGTCTGTGGAGGTAGAGGGGGTTGTGGTCAGTGCTGAGAAGATCGACCTCAGCCCTGAGAGCAGTGACCGGAGCTTCTCCGATCCACAGTCTAGCACTGACAGGGTTGGCGACATCCACATTTTGGAAGTCACAAATAACCTAGAACATAAATCCACTTTCAGCATTTCAAATTTCCTTAACAAGAGCAGAGGAAACAACTTTAGTGCAAATCAGAACAATGACGATAATATCCCAAATACCACCAGTGACTGCAGGCTGGAGGGCGAGGCCCCCTATCTGTTGAGTCCAGAAGCTGGGCCTGCAGGCGGGCCCTCCTCTGCCCCTGTCTCCCACGTGGAGAACCCCTTCAGTGAGCCTGCAGACTCCCACTTTGTTCGGCCCATGCAGGAAGTGATGGGCATGCCGTGTGTGCAGACCTCAGGCTACCAAGGAGAACAGTTTGGGATGGACTTTTCCAGATCTGGTTTGGGTCTCCATTCCTCCTTCTCCAGGGTAATGATGGGCTCCCCAAGAGGAGGAGCCAGCAACTTTCCATACTACCGCCGCATAGCTCCCAAAATGCCAGTTGTAACCTCTGTGAGGAGCTCACAAATCCCAGAAAACCCAGCTAGCTCCCAGCTACTGATGAATGGGGCCTCATCCTCCTTTGAAAATGGCCATCCCTCCCAGCCTGGCCCTCCGCAGTTGACCAGGGCATCTGCTGACGTCCTGTCCAAGTGCAAGAAGGCCTTATCAGAGCACAATGTCTTGGTTGTAGAGGGAGCTCGCAAGTATGCCTGCAAAATCTGCTGCAAGACTTTCCTGACCTTGACAGATTGCAAGAAGCACATCCGTGTTCACACAGGTGAGAAGCCCTATGCCTGCCTCAAGTGCGGCAAGAGGTTCAGCCAGTCCAGCCACCTGTACAAACATTCCAAGACCACCTGTCTGCGCTGGCAGAGCAGCAACCTCCCCAGCAGCCTGCTCTAACACCAGCCTCCCAAGAGTGCCAGGAGGCAAGATAGGAATGCAACACCCTTCCAGTAGATGGCTGTTGACTGTGAGGTTGCAAACTTGGATTAGTAAGGGGGGAAACTTGCCTGTGTAGCTCTCAGCTGCTGTTTCCGGGTGAAATGCACACATTCAGAGAGTGCTGCCCCCTACAACCAAGCTCTCCCTTAGTGTTGTCAGAAAGTAGTTTGTAATGGGATGATGAAAGTGACACATGAAAAAACTAATAACTTCAGTGCAAAAAAATTTTTAGCAATTTTTATAAATGCTGAAGCATTTAACTAATCCTCCTATCCCCTAGGATGGGAACATTATACCTGTACAAATGATGCAAAAATGCACTTAAGTGTAACTAGTCGTGGCAACTTGGTGTCTGTCTACAAGGAGGACCCTTGAGGACATGCCTTGCCGCCACCAATGCTTTAAAGTGTCTCAGGAGCTAGTCCTGGGCCTCCAAAAGTACTGTATTTTTTATTTCTCTCTGATCTGCAGTCATAGACACTGCACTTTGATGGTGCTGACACTGGCCCAGAGCGAGCGCTTTCTGGACTTTTAGGTGTATATACTTTAAAAAATATCACTGTTGGATGTTTTAACCATTTTCCCTGGTTTTGAAAACAAGTTGTAAATGGAGTAAGAACTTGTAGGGAGTGACAAGTAAGGTATTGTTTCTGTATGTGCTGTTTTAGCGGTATTTTAACTAACTTGTATAATATAGTCACAGTTCCACGTTGGAAGTCAGAAAAGAGCTAGTGTTTGTCTTTGTTCTGATGATGTGGATTCATGTGTGGGTTGTCCCTGGTGTGTCTTCCCTTTGCTCTGCCCTGTCCCACCAGGCACACCTCGCCCGAGGAAAAACAAATAAACCCGTCCTTCCCTGTTGCTTCTTAGCTCTCATGCCCCACCTGGCCTCTCTTCCAGGTACAGATGACTTATTCTGTTTCAGACTAAGCTAAAGTCTTGCCGGTCCCACTAGGGCTCTTATTCCTGGTAAATGCCAGTTTAAAAAATATAGATCCTGAACTTTTGTTTTCCAGCCTGGTATTTGATGTTTAAGGTAATTTGAGATCTAAATAAGGCTGTGTTCATGGATATTTTTCCAGGTTAAGAGGTGCATGGTCTAGAGCATTGATGTCCCCAAGCAGCACTGAAACCATCACCACCCAGGCCTTTGCATTGCTTCTTCATGCCCTTGTGCCATCGGGGCTGCTGGTGACTCCTGGATAGGGCTGTGCCCTGACTCTGTGCTTCCAGGGAACATGTAGACCAGTGTTCCTGCAGAGTTCATTTTTGCACAGACGTGAGATTTTTCTGTATCCAGCTGTCTTAGATACACCACACCATTGTGTGTAATGGAGAGAAAGCCTCAGTTCTAAATGTTGGGAAAGCTATTCAGAGCTTGAATAGAAAATTTCTTGTGTTTCCTTCTAGTAATCAAGCATGTGCTGTTCTGCACATCTGGTAAACTCAGTAGTCTTAATGTGACTGAGCATCTCCTAACAGGTTTTCAGGGAAGAGCCATGGGGAGGCCTTAGTGGGCTTCTCCTGCCTGGGGTGGGAGAACAGTGGGATGGGAGTATGAGAATCACCTGTGAGCCTGGTGTGAGGTGGTGCTCTAGCTGGCCCTCTGCGTGAGTTGAGAACCAGCATCTGGGAGGGGATTGACCTCGGAAAGTAAGGAGGTAAGCACAGAGAACAGCAGCTCTCTGGGCCCCGGGAGAGCAGAGGCGGCGGCTGGTGCAGTGGGCGGCCGCCCTCTCAGCCAGTGGACTTTAGGGACCCCTCTTCTGCCAGATGGAATCTAAAATCTCTCATCTACCTCTTTAGTTCTTACGTGTGAGAAGCAAGTGTTTAGGCCAGTGTCCTCACTACACTCTCTAGCACTTAAAATAAGAATTCGGCTCCCCTGGAAAGCCAGTCTGAACTTTCCTATATACTATAGATCCTACCTGAATTATAACTGACATTGGGTACCTGGATTTTGGTCGGTTAGCCTTAACTACAGCCAGGCATAATCATTTCTGGTGATCAAATCATAAAGTTCTATCAATCAGGCCCCATGTCAGTGGTGCTATGCTGGTCAGAATTTGAGATTTTGAAATAAAAAATGTCACATTCATGCCTCTAAATATGTGTTTGCTTTTTCTTTGTTTTGTTGTTTGTTCATCTGTGGTTGGGTTGGTTTTTTTTTTTTTCCTGCCACACCTGCTGGTGCTCAAGGCTTACTCATGGTTCTGTATTTAGGGTTACTCCTGGAAGGGGGCTTGGAGAGATCATCCGGGGTGCTGGGGATCACACCTTAGTCACTGTGTGCAAAGTAAGCACACTGTGTCTCCAGTTAAAACACTTGGGAAATGTTTGGTCCAGTTTTTTTTTTTAAACCAAGTAGAAAACACTAATGCTGCATGTTAATTGTTACCGGCTGTTCCCCTCAGCATGGTCCTGGCTGCCTTCTCTGCTCTAGTTCTGTCTGAGCTGTGAACACTGGTGGCGATTTGCTCTCTTCCCCCTGCAGTTGTACTCTTGAGGGCCTGCTCAGTCTCCCACTAGCCTGATCCCAACCTGCTGCCAAGGTTGAAATCCGCACCAGCCAGTTGGGCTTGACTGTGGGAATTGCTAGGGCTTGAGTCCTAGGCAGGAACAAGGCTTCCGCAGCGCAGGTGGCTTAGCCTTGGGGAGCAGAGAGGGAGTGGGAAGGGGAATGACAAAAGGGGAACCCCTTGGGTGGAGGTCAGAAACAAGGTACAGGTGCTGAAACAAATCCTAAAGTGAAAGCCCATCCATGTTCAATTATTCTTGCAGGGGAGAGGGTATTGGGCCACCCCTTGCTGTGCTCAGGGATCACCCCTGGTGGTGCTCAGGGGACTGTATTGGGTACCAGGGATCAAATTTTGATCAGCTGTGTGCATGTCAAGCACCTTCCCCACTATCCTAGCTCTCCAGCCCCTGTCCAAGGAAATACCAAGTGTCAAGTGCTCATGGAATTCTTTCTGTGGAGTTTGGATTTGCTCCAAAGTTCATGGCTACTGTATTCACACTGAGAATAGGCCCTCCCCTGCTTGGTGGGCAGCCTGGAGCAGAGAGGGTGAGGGGAACGGGGCTTGGGTGGGTTCTAATGAGGACTGGGGTGGCCGCAGACGCGCTTCTCATCTGCTTCTCTAGTCACAGGCCAAGACAGTCTCTCAGAGAACTGTTTACTAGAACATGCTCTGGGCCCGCACCCTTCCAGCTGCCGCACTGGCCCATGTACTGCTCAGCACGGTGGCTCAGCACGGCGGCTTTGCCTGGGCTCCCATCCTCAGGCAGGGCAGCAAATCAAGCCTGGGCATGTCTGCCGGAATCCTGGGCTCCGGGGATCCACGTGGCTACAGCTTGAGTTCACTGGGCATCGGCTCCCCTCTCAGGCCGGCCAGCAGGTTGTTAGCTGCCAGCAGTGACATGGTGTTTCGGGTTCTGTGGGTGGCACTGCCAATGTGGGGCAGGATCACTGGGAAAGTAGAAGAGGGAGGTCAGAAACAGGTTGACTGAGGAGAGTACCCGCGAGCCTTTCTCCATGCAGTGTGCCAGCCAGGAGAGGACGCCTGCCTTAGTTGCCTTTTGTCCTGTTGTTCCCCTGGAGATGAGCTCAGAGGGACAGTGCAAAGACTCAGGCTACTGGGACCCAGGCACGGAGTGATGGGCTGTGTCTTAAACCTGGGGATGTACTATAGGCAAGAAGGCACCTGGGTGCCAGTGAGACCCAGCCCTTCCATCCGCAGGGCAGCAAGGTGACCAATTTAGGGGGCACAGTAGGGATCCCCCACCCTGAACTCCTGAAGGGAGCTGCTGGGCTTCTGGAGAGCAAACCAGGTCATATGACTGCACAGAGCGCCTTTTAGAAGCAGTATCCAAGGGCCCGCCGGAAGGGAATAGTGGTGCCAGCTGCGGGCGGCAGCCCTGCCACCATGGTCAATGTGCCTTTTCAGGCAGTGACGGGGAGGACGGAGAGTTCCCAAGGGCTGCAATAATGGGGCCACTTGCTGCAGGGAAGGTGGCCAAGGGCCTTCCCTTGGGCTCCTGCTTTAAAGGGAAATAAAGGAGGGTGCCCCATTCCACGGCATCAGCCTTTCCACTCACAGCGACCATCTGAAGATGGACCAGCTTGCCCGAGTGATCCAGGGACACCAGGGTGACAAAGTCTAGACATGACATCGTTCACTACACCCTGCAGTGGGCAGTGCTGCTCGCTGGCATCAGGTCCACCAGCTCCAGAAACAAATGGGAGGCCCACCTAATCATACTAACCGAAGCAGAAATGGGGCCCGGCTCCCTAAGTGTATGCAGTTTCTTTCAGCCACCACACTGGGGAGAGCCTTCCAGAAATATCTACCTGCCTTTGGGGGTGGGGGTCGATGCAGGATGGTGAAGTGGTTCTAATTCACAAGACAGGAGGGACCCCCTTGGGGGACTTGTAGTTTGGGGGAAGGAGGGTGCTGGCTGTATGAGGGGGAGGAGAGAACCACACTGGCATATCAAGTGTCACCTGGATTCATTCGTGATTTTTAAAAATCAGTTCTAATTTTGTTTTTGGGGAAAACGAAACTGGAATCACAGCCACTCTGGAGAGGAGCCACTGCTGCCAAGAGGCTGAACCAGCAGCAGAGGTGCTGAGGAAAGCAGGAGGGAGCAGAAGTGGGGTGTACAGTGGGGTACCCTCAGCACCCAGCGGAATCCATGGGGGTGGGTTTGGAGTTGAGAGAGTGCTTAGGACCTGCACAGGTGACACTACAAATACACAGAGCATATTGTCACTGCGCTTTCTCCGGTCCCTTTTGTTCTTGCTCCTCCCCGCTGTTGGCATTCCTGCAGAGGAACCTGTTTTGGCGCTCCAGAAACCGAACTGCTCACTCAGAGCAGCTAGTTTTGCTGGGATGCGCTGCAGAAATGAGGCACAGGGGGGTTTCTTTTTTGCTTTGTTTTGGAGCTACACTGGGTGGTGCCCAGGGCTTCCTCCTTGTTTTGAGCTCAGGGATCACCCCTGATGGTGCTCACAGGATCATACGGGATGCCGGCGAGGGGGCTCAGATTGGCATGTACAAGGCAAGCGCCCTACCTGCTGTACTACCTCTCCACCCCAAGATGCTAAAAGAGCCCTCCTTAGCCTGCATCCCTGACAGTCGCAGACTGGGCTGGGCATAGTAAAGTCCCACCACCCACCAAAGGTCAGGCACCAAATGGTCATAGCACAAATGGCTGTGGTCCCTGCCTGGGTCCCATCACATTGGTTCACACTACCTGCCAGAGTCTCCCCTGTGCCCCTGCACCTCCCCGACTGCTATGCCCCACAGGGTGAGGCCCAGGTCTTACCACAGTTCTTCAGGCTCAGGAGAGGGTGGTCTGTGGGCAGGGGTTCTGGGGTGGTCACATCTAGGCCTGCACCTGCGATCCGCCCACTGGCCAAGGCCTGGTACAGGTCATCCTGGTTCACCACATCTCCCCTAGGAAGGACAGAGTGAGCTGGGTGACCCCAAAGCTCCCCTACCTGGTTACTTTTAGAGCAGAACCCAGGGAATGAACTGTGCCAGCCTGGCACTTGGCATTTTCAAAATAATATTTGGGCCACATCCAGCTATGTTCAGGGCTTACTCCTGGCTCTGCACTTACTCAGAGATCACTCCTGGCAGGGCTTGGGTGACATATGCAGGGGGGAGTGGGGGGGGCAGGGATCGAACCCAAGTTGGCTGGGTGTAAGGCAAGTGTCCTATATATTGTCTTACCACTCCAGCCCTGGCCCTTTTTGTGGGCGTGTTCCCCAAACAATGCTCAAGGGGCCCCAGGACCATACCAGGTGACACTCAACCAACCCGGCCTTTTGTATGAATGTGAAGACCTGAGGATATGGTGCTGCCCAGAGACAGGTGCCAGGGACACCACAGCTACCTCTGGGCTGTGCTAAGGACCCTCCAGAGCAACGGCATCAGAGTCTGATCTTGGGTCTCAAGGCATATGCCAGCCTGAGCTTGTTCCCTGGCCTGGCCCTGAGTACCGTCAGCCTCATGTCCCTCCAGGTCTGGAAAGGCCTCACACTACCTCACCCTGCAGCTTTGTAGCTGTGGGACTTCGCCAGCACCTCAGACTGTCTCAGACCCCCTCTGTGAAAGTGGAAGAGCCTCTGGCTCTCAGGGGGGCCCATACTGGCACCCACTATTGTGGGAACAGGCCCCCAAGTCTGCTCTTGTGTGGGACCCATCTAGCTGTTGCTGATCTGGTTAGTACCAGTCTGACCTGCCTAATGAGGGCACTGGCCCAAGGTACATCTTTCCACATACATCCAAGTGGGCACACAGGACCCGACTACCAGAGTAAAATCGGATTCCCCGGGTCTTCTTGTGCATGCAATAAACCGTGTGGATGAGCAAACAGTGGCCTGCCCATCCCTGCATGTACGAGCCTGGCTGCCTGTTCCCAAGTCACCTCCCTTGTAGCTGAGCATCAGAGTGTACAGCTTCTGGGGTGCCTAAGCCCTCGGGGTCCACTGCCCACAGCCCAGCTGTCTGCCTCCATAATGAAGTCACAGCAACGAAGGGGCTGGATAAGAGGGATGGGAGGACCAGCTCTGACGGTCACTGGCTCCTGGACAGATTCAGGCTGGGCACTGCATGGGCCAGCCCTGCCTGGGTATAGGAACTTGGTAGCTCTCTGCCACTCCTTATCACACCCTGACCAACCCCTACCCGTCTGGGTGCACTCCCCTGTCCCTTCTGTACATTTGGGTTGCCTGGCTCGCTTATGGCACACAGGGAACCAGCCTGAGGTCTCATCGACCACCACAGGGAAGCCAGGTCTCTGACAGTGGCAGGGGACACCCCTAAATGTGCTCATGGGGGCCCAGGGTACCTGCTGATGTTGATAAACACTGCCGTGTTTTTCATCCGCTGGAAGAAGTCCTGGTTGCAGAGGCCCTTGGTGGCAGGAGTTAAGGAACAGGCCACAACGACGAAATCGGACTCAGCGGCCAGTTGGCTGGTGGGCACTTGGGGAAGAAGATTGCTCTCAGCTGCAGAATTGTAGGTATTGGGGGTGGGGAGGCTCCCCTCTCTTCCCCCTGCCAGGACAACCCTGATAAGAGCTTACAGCCCTGGGGCTAGAGTGATAGAACAGTAGGTAGGGCATTTGCCTTGCACTCGGCCGACCGGGGTTCAATTCCCAGCATCCCATTTGGTCCCCCGAGCACCGCCAGGAGTAATTCCTGAGTGCATGAGCCAGGAGTAACCCCTGTGCATCGCCGGGTGTGACCCCCCTCAAAAAAAAGCTTACAGCCCTCGTGGGGTGCTGGCTCACAACATCATTCATTCACCCCTTGGCTGAGCAGACAGGGAAACTGAGGCCAATGAAGGATGGAGGGTGTTTCAGAGCCACTCAAGACAGTGGGGTCTGGGCCCAAGCAGCCATGGTGGTGAGGAAATGTGGAGTTCAGCCTATATGAGTGCACTGAGCGAGAGCAGCCGGGGGGCCGAGGGCTATGCTCACAGTTTCATAGGGAAACTAAGGCAAGTCCCGACTCCTCCCCCAGACTGTCACCAGGATGCGGCTCTGCCCATGGAGGAACCAACAGAGACAAGAGATCCAAAGGTCACGTGCCCGTCTAGCATGAGAGGACCTGGTATGGTCTGCATGTACCTAGGTGGGGACACTTAGGTCACTTGAGGCTGAGGGGCACCAAGGGTGGTACATAGGGGGCACCTGGGCTTGAGTTCTGGGTGCAAAAATGCTGCTATGGTAGCGAATGGGCACAGCCTGGAATTTCTGTGCAAATCCAGAAGCTCCTTACCAAACTCTGCCTGGAACTCCGCAGCTTCCTGGGGCCGGGGCTTGCGTCCGCTGTACAAAAACCTATGGACGCCAAAGGGCTTCAGGCACCGGGCTATGGCCTGACCTGCAGGAAGGGAGTCGTCGAGGTTTGTTCCCACTGTAACCTTCCCTGGAACCCCACTGAGGTCTGACCTCCCAGGACCCCAACAACTGCGGTGACGCCATCCTGAAGCCGCCAAGACCACTGCTTGCTCATGCTGCTGTAGCCAGACTTCCCCCTGCTGGAGCTGCTGATTCCTAAGAATTCCCAACTTAGCTGCCTTCCAGAAGCCAAGTCCAGGGCGCTCCAGAAGCTGGTCAACTGGTGCTGCCTTGCAGTGCCCAGGCCCCTACCCTTGTCCCGACTGCCCGATCAACCCTGCTCAAGGAACCCACATTGGGTTTTTGGTTTTCTGTCCCCCTCTTTCTTACAGGACCCAGACCCCAGACCCAGCAGTGCTGAAACAACCAGGGCTCCATCCTGCAGTGCTGGGGGTGGAGGCCATGGCATTGCAGGGTGGCACTCAGGGCCTTGCTAAGACTCCCTGTCCCCAACACACACACACACACACACACACACACACACACACACACACACACACACACAACAAATGCCCAACATGCAGGTGTCTTGGGCCAACTGCGACCTGTGAGACGCCATTCAGCGTGCAGGGTCCCAGTGCCAGCCACCAACCCCAGGAGCCCAGGGCAGGCGGGCAGGAGGAGGGCTCACCTATGCGGCCAAGCCCGATGATGCCGACGGTGCTGTGCTGCAGGCCGTAACCGCACATCCATAGGGGTTTCCAGGATGTCCAGCCGCCACTGTGGGAGGAGGTTGGGTGAGAGGGGCCCTGCTCTCGGGTCTGAAGATCCAAGGTGACACGAGTGTCACGAGCAACCCAGGTGTGTCCTCACTGCATGCAGGTACCAGCCAAGCTGCGGCCCAAAAGCCAGGCAGGACCCCAGAAGGGAGGGCAGAAGGAGCCTGAGGTGTCCTCGTCCTGTTCTGCCAACAGGAAACTGAGCAAAAACAGCTCCCGCCTGAGGTTACAGAGCCGTGCTCAGAAGCTGAGATTCCTGAGGCGGAGAGCTCAGTGTGCAGGGGCACCAGCAGCGCTCACCCTTGGGAGGCCAGGGGTCAGGGATCAGGACACAGATGGCAGCAGCTCCTGGACATGAGACCAGGTGGACATCAACCGGCTCCTTCATGACCTTGCAGCCTTGCTCCAAGTGCCCATGTGTGCCCGTTACCCTGGCCAGACCCTTCACCCTGGAATGCGGTTCCTGACTCTGACATCTAGCCCCCAATTCCAGCCCTGCTCTGACCCCAAGCCAGGGTCAAGTGAGCATCAGGGGCACCTCTGCCACCAAACAGGGGTCGCATAGACCAGAGGGTCTGCAAAGCAGAACTCAATGGTTCACAGAACCATCTATAGCTTCCAGGACTTTCTGGAGTCTGACACAGAGGATGAGGAGGATGAACTGTCTCCCAGAAAGTGCAAGAGAGAACACCCACCTGTCACCTCCTCCATGATGTTTGCCCTGACCCGCTCTCTCCCAGCTTTCCCTGGGACCCCTTCCTGCCGAGTTCAGTTCAATACTCTGCAGAATCCATGGCCTCTCAGTACACAGGCAGTCTGGGGATTCAGAAGCAAAACTTGGCTTTCCCACCAGCGTCACTCACTTCTTCACCTCCTCCATGGCTTCGGGCAGCCGGCGACAGGTGGTGAGCAGCAGGGAGACGGCCAGCTCCGCCGTGGCGTCCGTCAGCACATCAGGGGTGTAACCCACACGGATCCCACTGCAAACCAACCAACTGCTGATAACTGCGGCCTGAAGCACTGGCCCCAGGCTCTGCTACACACCCTCTCTGCTGTGGGCACCCTAGGGAGACCACGAGCTGGGAGATGGGGGCTCGCGATCTTAAGCAAGCAACGACTTCACCTTTTCTGAATTTCCTCATGGAAAGGGGGAAGGGGCGGGTCAGCGCAGCTCAGGGGTCAGAGGGACATGCCTGCCCAGTAACAGGGGCCTGAGTGCCATCACTGTTCCCACCTGGCCAATCGTGCCCTGCCTAGGGTGGCTCCAGTGGTCCCTAGCATTGCCCGGCCCGAGCAATGAATCATGAGGTCACTGTCTGGAATGGACCCCACACTCCCTGAGCACTTGCTCAGGAGCCCAAACAAGCACACAGGGAAATGATGCCCGTCTCTTCTCCTCGTGGGGTTGTGCTAAGGGTCAAAAAACAATCAAGCATATGAGAGGCGCAACCTGGACATTAAAGCTCTCTACGGCTTCTGATCTCTGGACTCCTTTGCTTATTGGCGGCCGGGGGGGGGAAGGGGTGCTCCCAACTGGCACTCAGGGGTCTGCAGGCCACTCTTGGCAACTCCTGGTCAGCCAAGTCTGAGGATGCAGTGCCGCTCTGGCCTGTGATGTCGGGAACCTGAAGGGCCACCCAGGCCATGACTGGGGACCTCCAGGGCCACACCCCGTGATGCCATGTGGTGCCAAGGTTTGAATCTGGGTGCTGGCAAATACAAGGCATTCACCCTCACACCCTGGCCCCTGGGCTAATTTATTTTGGGGTGAGGGGGCTCCTGAGCAATCCTTGGGAGCTCAGGGCCAGTCCTGGTGAGTTGGCCTGGCCCAGATGGTTCGGTGCCAGGGTCCATGAGGTTCTCCATCACAGTACTCGAAGCTACCATGACCACACAGAGTCAAGGGTGTCACATGGTACCGAAGACTGAGCACAGAGCCCCACACGTCCCACGCAGGCGCTCACTCCTCTGCACACCGCCTGGGCCCGTGAGCTGACTCTGACCATGCCAGCTGCCCCCACCCCATATTCCCCTGCAGCTCCCCTTCCCCTGGCCCTGGGGGACTCCCCCATCTCCAGGCCCGTCCTGCCCGACACTCACCGCTTCTTGATTTCATCCAAAGCCAGGTGGTCCACGCCCACAGACAGCGTGCTGATGACCTTGAGGTTGGCCCCTAGGGGAGCAAAGAGCATTGTTTGTCTCCTTCCAGACGGGACTCAGAGCTGGGGCGCTGGGAGCCGTGGCAGGGACACCGGCTGATCACCACGTTCCTGGAGTGAAAGGCTGGAGGTTCCGCTTCGACAGGGATGAATGGTGTGGTGTGGGGAGGCTGGGCCAGCCGAGGCTTAGCCCAGAGACCCCTGACATCAAGGCCCTGCTCAGAACCCCCCAAACTGTCTACCCAACAGGGACCTTCCTACCACCACCTCCACCAGCACTATGAAGGCAGCTACAGGGGGACCCTGAAAAGCTCTGGAGTAAGGCCTAGCTCATAGGGGCTCCTTGACCCTGCAGCCTGAGTCTGGACTTTCTCTCAAAACCCGTGGCTGAGGTGTGAATGAGCAGCAGGGGGCCAGCTCATGCTTGGTCCCCGGGGTGCCACCCACCCCTTACCCCCTAGGTAGGTCCAGGGGTCAGGCCTTGCTCTGGGTCAGCAAGTACTCAGGGTTGGATGAGGCCCAGGGCTCTGGGCTACCACCCCTCCCTCCCCCCAGCACCCGCTGACTCCACACCCCGGCCTTTGTCCTCCCAGGCTTCCAGCCAGAAGGCGCATGTGGGTCCCACAGCGTGTCCCCACAGCCCCCTCTGTCCCAGGAGTGAGTGAACTTGTGAGATCTCAAGTGCCCACAGGCCGGTTAATGTGCCCCCAACTGGGCTACATGCTCCCAGCCCCTCCCCCCCTCCCCCGGGCACACACCTGCAGCATCCAGGATCCTCTGGTCCACGCGGTCGGTGAGCAGACACAGCAGGCCGTGAGCACCCGCCACGCCACGCTCCAGCTCCTTGCTGGGGATGGGCTCGTCCGAGTCCCACTGCACCACCTCACAGCTGCCAGCAAAGGAAAGACCGCTCAGGGCAAGGGGCCTCCCCACGGGCCCTGGGAGCTCTCATAGTGTGGACGGGGGCCCCCTAGGGCATAGCCTAAGCTGAGAGGTCATGGGCACAGCTCTAGGCTCAATGCAAGAAGAGCAGAGAGAGGGAGAGAGGAGAGCTGGGGGCGGGGAGCGGGGCCCCACCCAAGAGTGCTCAGGAGCTACTCAGGGCTCTGGGGTCACACTGACTTTAGAGAACCATGAGGCGCTGGGGACTGAGCCTAGGCCTCCCACAAGCAAAGCCCACACTCAGCCCTTCATGTCATCTCTCTAGGTCAGAGCTCCCAGCCTGGGGACTTGGATGCCGTGTGCTAACACATGGCCTGGCCGGGGTGTGTGTGGAAGAATTCTGGATCTGACAGGGTTTGCTCACTGATGCACGTCCTGGCCCTGTGAGTCCACTAAGTGACACTCATACCTGGGACTTGTTAGGAAGGTCCAGCCTTAGCATTGCAGCATGGAAGAACGCTCTTTGTTTTGTTTCGTTTTGGGGGAACACCTGGTGATACTCAGGGGTTACTCCTGGTTCTACACTCTGGAATTACTCCTGGTGGTGTTCAAGGGACAATATGGGATGCCAGCAATCAAACCTGAGCTGGCCATGTGCAGGGCAAATGCCCTGTTTGCTGTACGATCACTCTGGCCCCACCATGGAGAAGCTTTAGGGTCCACCCTCAAATGTCCACAATGGCACTAGTCATGTCCCCAGGGGGGCTACTGAGCCTGTTACTTCACTCGGGGCAGTCCCCACATCTGGAGTCTGTCACAGGACACAGATGCTGGCTACCAGGCCCCCCTGACACACCAGTAACCACCTCTATACATGGATGTACACCATCACCACCTTCCTTTCCACACCCAGGTGCAGCAGCTACTCCGTCACCACCACCACCCCTCTCCCACACACCCCTTCCTCAGCAGCACCCTTCCCAAGGTCTCCTTGCACTGAACAAAATCAACCAATCTTATCTCACCCTGTGCTTGGGCCTGTGGTGGGCTCCCCCTGCCCAGGCCTGTGCCATGGTGCACTGAGAGCAGGGCTGAGTTCAGAGTGGGATCTGCACTGCCCACACACACCCCCAACCCGAACAAGTCTGGCTGAGACTCTAGGCCCCTTCCTTACTCATCTCCCAATTCTCCGTGAAACAAAGTCCCGGGGCCCACTTCAGAGTTGCAAGCATTGAAACGGGTTTTGCAGAGCCAGCTAGCCTAGCCATGCAGGACTCCACGGAACAAAGGTCACCCAAGGCAAAGGGATTCAGGCTGGTAAGTGGCAAGTTTCTTTTTTTTTTTTTTTCTAAAATTTTGATTAGTGAAACACCATGAGGTACAGTTGTAGACTTACAAGTGGCAAGGTTCTTGACCCTGCAAAGGACCTCAGAGGGGAAAGGCTAACAGCCCCGGTCTGTATCTGGGGGCCTCGCATCACCCCAGGTCAATGCCCCGTCCACTCCCACTGCAAACGCTGGGAAGCTTTGGCCTAAGGGCCGCACTGGGCCGGCTAGGAGAAAGCTGGGTCCCAGCCAACTCTCCATGCCACCCCCACACTGCAGACTCAGCTAGCTAGGGCAGTCCGGCCAAGGTCCAAGCCCAGGACCCCAGCTCTCTCCTGCCCCTGCGGCGACCCGTCGTCCTTCCCAAAGAAAACAAAAATTACTGGGGTTCCCGGAAGCGGACCCGGCCCATTTGGGTGCAGCGACCCCCAAACCGCGCGTGGAGACCCTGAATCAGGAGTGTGCGGGGCTACCCGAGACTCCCGGGTTCTGCAGCCCCTTCGCTCTCCCGCCAACCCCGCGAGGATCGCGGCCGGCGGGGCGCCGGGCTCTTACTCTGCAGCCCCGGCGAGCGCGGCCCGGCCCTCCGGGGGGATCCTGCGCGTGACGAACACCTTCATGAGCCGCGCGAGCTTCATCCACTCTGCAAGCGAAGGACACGAGCAGACCCGCACAACCCGGGCCGGAAGCGCAGGGCGGCGAGGGGCGGGGCCAGGAAGGGGCGGGGCGGATGGGCGGGACCTAAGGGTCTGGAGGGCAAGGAGGGGCGGGACCAGGAGGGCGGGGCCGGAGTGGGCGGGGCCTGGGGCGGGGCAGGAGGGCCTGTGAGGGGCGGGGCCTGGAGGGCGTGGTCAGGCTGGCGAGCGCCGGGCGCCCGCCCAGGCTCCCCTTTGCCATACATTTCACCCGACTCTGCGTGCTCGGCGCGTGGCTTTCATAGCGCTTGCAGCGCGTGATTCTGCATTGTGCACCCTTGTGCATCCTTGAATGTGTGATGAAACTCTGGTGGGACTGGATTGGTTCTGGTGGGGATGTGACCAGGCCCATGCTTGGACCCTGCGTCTCCAGAGGTTTCGTCTGAGCATCCACTACCCTAGACTCCAGGGCTGGGATGCGTGCCTTTGAGGTTGAAATGGACAAGACAAACCGGAACCCTGGGGAGAATGCTGAGAAGGGTGCATCAGGGTGTCTGCAGCAGGGTGCGTGTCCAGGGGAGGAGAGGGTTGCAAGCTGGGGTCACTCCCGTCCCCAGGACCTGATGTGTGACCATCCCGACTGAATCTGTTCTCTGATGGCCACAAAGTTCCAGGCAGAGGCCTGCGACTACATGAACTGGCTGGAGTCGGTCAGTGGGTGCTTCATGGGCAAGGAGCTCGGGTGGTCTTGGAGGTCAGTGTGGAGTGGCTAGGGTTGGTAGTGGAGGTGCCAGAGTGGTTCTGGTGCCAGAGGCAGCCTGCCGAGCCCTGGACTACCATAGGGCCAGGACACTGCTAATCACTGGCAGTGATTCTCAAATTTCCTTGGCACTGCTTGGGAGCTCCCTAAAACAAAGGAAATGGTTTCATTTTTTTAAATTATATACATTAAAATATACCTAAATACTTGATATGTGTTTATGTGTATATTTACGTATCTATATAATGCTTTCTAGGCCCGATCCCTTTTTTACTTTTAGATTTCCAACTTGAGTAGTGCTCAGGAGTTACTTCCAGTGAGGTGTTCAGGGAACCATAAGTTGCTGGGGTCCAACCTGGGGCTCCCCCATGCATGCTCCTCACCCTTTGAACATATTCACAATCACCCAAACAGGTACTTTCATGGCTTTTTTTAAAAATCATTGTTTATTTTTTGGAGAGAGCTACCACGTTATTCAACACCCTCTCTCAGTGTCTCCACTTTTCCCCATTGCTTTGAAATTCTACCATTGTCATTCTAGATTTGGGTGAATGGGAGTGCATTCTGACTTGTTCTGTTCTCTTAAGCTGTCATGTGTGATATGTCACTGTGAGCAAGGAAAGGGGTGTGGCTTTGTTCTGCAGGTAGCACACTCTTACAGCTGAGGATACTCGGGAGAGGGCACTTAGTTAGGATACACTTTCACAGGTGAGGACATTTGCTTTAGGAACAAGGTGCTGCAAACCAGTGTGTTGACTCAGGCAGAGCGCCCTGCTCTGATCCCAACCACACAGCTGACAAGTACCCTTGGGTGCCAGGTGGGTGGGGGACTTGGTGGATGAATGAGTGAATGTGAATGGATGGATGTGGATGTGGGTGAATGGAGATGAATGGATACATTCATGAATGGATGTGGGTGGATGGATAGATGATGAATGGATATATGGAAAGATGGGTGGTCCTTCCTCCTCCCCACGGTGGCCAGGAGAAGAGAGGTCTTCTTCACTGCCTTACCCTTGTGCTGGTCTTCCTCCTGGCCCTATCTCCCTGCACTTGCTCCCCGGGCCCCTTCCATGCTTCAGGTGTTGAATGCTCAAGAATCTGGACTTTCTTTCTTTCTTTCTTTCTTTCTTTCTTTCTTTCTTTCTTTCTTTCTTTCGAATACACATCCCTCCATCAGTGCCCATTTCCCACCACCATGGATCCCAGTATCCCTCCCACGCCCCATCTCCCCCATCACACCCTGCCTCTGTGGCAGGGCATTCCCCTCTGTTCTTTCTCTCCTTTTGGGTGTTGTGGTTTGCAAAAGAGTTAAGCCTGATTTTCAGGGAGAAACGTTGGATGATTTACTTTCCATTGATCACTTTGTATATAAGGAGATGTAAGCGGTCGCGTGGTTTGGAAAAAAATGTCCTGGTACCCGCATGCCAGAGCTATGCTTGTAGAGGCCCATGGTCACTGGGGTTCCATCTGGAGAAGGTGGGACGCAGCACCTACCCCATCTGGGACCTCCTGGTGACATCGGCTCTGTTTGGGACCCGGAGCATTCTCCGGAAGCTGTGGGGCCCTCCAGCCAGTTTTCTTCTTTCAAGAATCTGGACTTTTTGGTCTGCTCGGCCAGTGGGTGGGGCTGGCCTTTGAGAACCTGTTCCTGCTGTCTGCCTTCTACCTGGCTTCTAAGACTTGTCCTTGCCCTCAACTTTTGAAACCTGGGTATCTGAGTCAATCCCCTAACCCTCCCTGTCCTGGGGGCCGGCCTCACTCTTCAGTTTGTCCTCTGACAGCCATCCAGCTTTTGTCCTCTGATGGCCCATTGCAGCACCCCACCTGGGCACCTAGTCCCCTTCCCCTATCCACTTAGGTATATACAAACAGCTCGGGGATCCAGCCCCCAGAAACACCAAAAGTCAAACAATGGGGACAGCTGCAGCAGGGAGCAGGAGGAGGGGGTCAAGGGGAAGGCAACAAAAGACAAAATTAGCAAAGTGCAGGGGCCCAGACTTGCAGGGCTTGACAGCAGCCGCAGATGCCCAGACTAGGAGCAGTGCTGTCCCCCAAATCTCCCTAGAGCAGCTCTGACTGCCAGCCAGCCCATGAATCTGGTAGTCCTGCAATTTCATCATCACAGCACCCCTCTGCCCTTACTGGTCCTATTTTGCAGATGAGGAAACTGAGGCTCAGAAAACAAGAAACAGGCACAACAGGTAGGAGAGATGAACTAAAAGGTTCGAGTGCAGGTTTCTCATATAGGTGGGCTGGATGCTATGTCTGACACCATGTGGTCCTGTGGGCACCTCCAGGAGGTGTGCCCCTGAGCCCTAGGCTGGGGGTGCAGCCACCTGTCATGTGTGCCCCCCAAAAAAAGAAAAGGAAGAAAAGAAACGTGTCCAAGCACTCCTAGTTCATAAACAGCTGAGCACTGTGCCCGTCCTTCCTCTGCTCCCTAACTGGCCCAAGAGCGGAGATTCTCATTCAGCAGATTTGGGGGTGACTCAAGAATCTATACTTCTTGTCAGCTCCAAAGCGAAGCAGCTGCTGCTGGCCCTACGGGGCACCCAGGCCAGCACAAGGCTAGAGAAGCTTTGGCTTATCCAGCTTCTGAGATCTGGGGCACTGATGCCTCACTCAGCTGTTCCCTGAGAAATGGCAAATCTGGACAGAAGAGGGCATGGTCATTTTCTTGGCAGTGCTGGGGCTCGAACCCAGGTTTCAAGCATGCAGGAAATGTGCTTTACCACTGAGCCACATCCCTGGCCATGCTGTAGCATCTTCCATAAAGCTTTTACCTCTGTGTCACGGTTTTCTTACTTTTATGTAGCTGCTTATTTTTTTGCTGGTGCCCCCTCCCCGCCCCATCTCCCCTCCCCCCAGTAGAGTACAAGCTCCCTGAGAGCAGAGTCTCCACTGATTTGCTCCCACTGTCATCTTGCATAAGGCAGTGGGAGCAAATCACCGGGAAGAAAATGAATGAATGTTCTTTTGAACGTGTGCCAGTCTCTGTGGTGTAAGATGATGCCTCATTGTTGTTTTGATTTGCATCTCCCTGGAGCATTTTTTCATGTGCCTTTTGGCCATTTGTATTTCTTCTTTGAGGAAACTTCTGTTCATTTCTTCTCCCCATTTTTTTTTTTTTTGCTTTTTGGGTCATACCCGGCGATGCACAGGGGTTACTCCTGGCTCTTCACTCAGGAATCACTCCTGGCAGTGCTCAGGGGACCATATGGGATGCTGGGAATTGAACCCGGGTCGGCCACGTGCAAGACAAACGCGCTACCTGCTGTGCTATCGCTCCAGCCCCTCTCCCCATTTTTTGATGGGGTTGGAGGGTTTTTTTCTTGTACAATTCTACAAAAGCAACCAGTGCTGGCGTAGATGTGGGGAAAAAGGGACACTCTTTCACTGTTGGTAGGAATGCCCACTAGTCCAGGCTTTCTGGAAAACAATATGGATAGTCCTTCAAAAACCAGAAATTGAGCTTCCATATGACCCCACAATACCACTTCTCGGAATATATCCTGAGGATGCACAGTAGAAATGACATCTGTACCTATATGTTCATTGCGGCACTGTTCACAATAGCCAAAATCTGGAAACAACCCAAGTGCTTTAGAACAGATGACTGGTTAAAGAAACTTTGGTACATCTACACATGGAATACTATGCAGCTGTTAGGACAGATGAAGTCATGAACTTTGCTTATAAATGGATAGACATGGAGAGTATCATGCTAAGCGAAATTAGTGAGAAAGAGAGGGACAGACATAGAAGGATTGCACTCATTTGTGGAGTATAAAACAACATAACATGAGGATGACACCTAAGAATAGTAGATACGTGGGACAGGAAGACTGCTCCATAGCTTGAAACCTGCCTCATGAGCAAAGGGGAGAAGGCAGCTGGAATAGAGAAGGGATCGCTAAGAAAATGATGGCTGGAGGAATCAGTCGGGATGGGAGATGTGTTCCAAAAGTAGATAAAGGACCAAACATGATAACCTCTCAGTGTCTGTATTGCAAACCATAAACCCAAAAGTAGAGAGAGATTATGGGGAATAATGTCTGCCATGGAGGCAGGGGGAGGGTAGAATGGGGAGGTGGGTATACCGGGGTTATTGGTGGTGGGGAATGTGCACTGGTGGAGGGATGGGTGTTTGATCATTGTGTGATTGTCACCCAAACATGAAAGCTTGTAACTATCTCACAGTGATTCAATGAAATTAAAAAAAAAAAATGAATGAATGATGCCAGAGGCTGGTCTCCTGGAGTGCAGAGCCCCGCAGGGACTTCGTTATTCTATCACCACCTAGT